CACTTCTTCCCTTTTTTTTTTCCCTTAAATCCTCTCATTCAGTTTTGTGCTTGGCTGGTTTCGGAAATTTACCTGGTGATATGGTATGCATTTTGTGCTTTTGTAGTTAAATTGGCTGTCAGCTTTGGTAAATTTATGTCACTGCTTGTTAGTGGTAATGCTGCATATATCTGAAATATTGGTACAGGAATGGGTGGTTGATGTTGTTCTTGTTGTTGTAGCTGTCATTTGGAAAATGCTTGTTCTTGCCTCTCAAATGCCTATCTTTAATGCTTGCTTTGTTAAAATACTTTTTTTTCCCCCTCTGTGGCCAGTACTTATACTTTCGCAAGATTTCTTCTGTTAGTTATGATCATGTTTCACATCCTTTTTCTTGGTAAAAATCAAATGGAGTGTCATACTTTTTTTTCCTTATAAGGGTCTGTAATCTTCCATGTCATTAAATGTGCAGGAGTACCTTAAGAATTAAGATGCACACCTAAAAAACATATGATTTTACCAAAACCATATACAAGCCAACCAGTTGTACCTTTTTTTTTTTTTTTTTTTTTTTTTTTTTTATAAACTCCTTTTATTTATTTTATACTTTAAAAAATATTTTTGTAATGGATGCAAGATTGGTAACTATTCTGGATTACAGTTAGTTTTGTGTATATAAACGGTAATTCTTATAAAAGTAGCTGTAACTTGCCAGTGATTTGTGTACAAGTTATTCTTCCTAGTAAAAAAAGCTGTTTGATAGTCATGCCATATGGTCATTGGCATCAGCCTGTGATGATAGCGTTTGTGGAGTTAGGTGACTACTGGCTATAGACTAAGATTATAAGGATCTTCATTTTCTGCATAATTGCATTTGATGCCTAAAGTTATTACGTGATTCTTCTTAGAGTTTGAACTGATATAAATTGCTAGAAGGACTAAATTCCTTTACTGTTCCTAAAACAGGCTTGTTTTTAAGGGCCTCCGTAGTTATTTCCTGCAATTTTGACTGGAGTATGTAGTATATAGGTCCAGGAGATTGTATGGTTGTAGATAAGCACAAATGATCTTCAGTTGATTCCAGGTTAATGCTCAAGTCAAGGATAACAGATCTGGCTTTATGATGTTCTGCTTACACATCTGCAAAATTTTTTGATGGACCTTGAAAGTGTTTCAGGCTTTCTGGGATTGCACTGAGAAAAAGCAGCTTGGAACAACTAAAGCTGAGTGGTCTGTAGTTAGTGAATGGTCACCTAATGGTTGTTTTTTTATGACTGCTTCAACAGCACCGCGACGTCAGATTGATAATGGGTATGCTGATTTTATTCTTGTAACGGAATAGAAATATTCTTAGTGGACTTCTGATTGTGATCTTAAGGGATGCTCTTTGGCTACCAAAAAGTAGCAAGTCACCTTTAAGTTTAGTAGGAAATATCATGATTTGACCTGAGCACAGCTGCTATTTTTTATTCCGTTATCACGAACGATATAGGCAAGGGTTTAATTATCTTGTGTTATGCATGTGCTGTCGTTCTCATCTAGGTTGACTAAGTTTGTTGGCACTTCTGCTTCTGTTGCCTGTTCCAGAAGGTCTGAGGCTTGCATATTGGCCACAATTGTTTTTGGATTTTCTGTAAATTGTCTAATTTTTTTGTAACTTGTCTTCTCTCGGTTTTGGGTAATTGCACCAAGATGAATTATGTTATTACATGAGCATTTGATTGATTTTCTTGGCTGATGACAATATGTTCTTGCTATTATGTCCCTTGTTCGAATGCTTCCTTTCCCTTTCTCTCAAAATGCTTTTGAATGTAACATCTAATGTGATAGGTGCATGACCCTTCCTTTCTGCTACTATTTCATAGTAAACTAATTGGAGTCTACAGTATGCAATTTTATCAGTGCTAGTAAATATATTTTTCCTCTGAAAATAGAGATTTATGCTTTTACTCCCTCTGCCCACCTTTGTTTGCCCCATTTGGAATTAGGTTGCATTTTTTTCAAGGGTGGAGTTGAAAAGAGACAAAATGGGAGAGTGAAGTGGTGATCTCTCATTTTTTTTTTAGTGTGGGGCAATCTTGGACAGCCTATAGTGGAAAATGAGAAAAACCAAAGGGTATGGAGTGAGTAATAAATTATCTTGGATCCCTGCTTGTCAAATTCACTAATTCATTATCTTTGTGAAACAAGTAAAACAACAAGCAAACCAATCATGTTATCATTTGGTAGGGGGACTTTCTCAGCAAAATACAACTGTCTAGAACTAAAACCTAAACTTGTGTAAATTTGACTCCAAAGAGTCAACTATAGCTATTGCAATAGAACAGTAATTTGAATTGATTGATCAGATTTACTTTTAATTGTTTAGCAAATCTTTACTCTTGTTTTTGAGAGGAAGTAAATCAAGTAATTGATCATACATGGTTTGGTATAATGTAGGATAAAGATTTTCCACCACAATGGCTCATTGTATTTCAAGAAGATGTTCGACAAACTATTCCAGGTTAGTGTGACTAATATTTGCTCTTCTCGTGTATTGTTTTGTGTTCCCCTGTTTAATATTCATTGTATCTTCTATCATTCAGGCTGATTGGAAACCAGAATCAGCAGATAGGTTTGGTGATATTTCTGAACTTGTGAAGTCTATTGGTTCACTGAAGATTGAAGAAACCAAAGCACAAGGTTTCTTGATCTCATGCCTGCTGCTTATTCGATACATTAATCTACTTGATATGCTGTCGCGTGAATGATAGAAATTTCTCTGTGTAGGACAAGGGTCAAAACCTTCCCAGAATGCTACAAAATCCAACCCAGTAAACCCTCCACAGAAATCTGCCGCGTATCTACCTCCTAGTGCTAGGAAGGCGGCTTCTGTTAAGGCAGAGGTAAATTCTAGCTACCTTGGCATTCTACCGAACACTGATATGACCAATTAATCATCTTTTAATTTTTTTTGACAGATTTAACCTAATGGTTGTTAAAGCTAATTCTAGAGAATCTAAAATATATTTTGAGATTTCAATGCCAGAAATCTAAGGATAACATCCAAAGTTGGCTTGGCATTGAGCAGAATGATATACTCCATGCTTGCTTTGAAATTCTAAATGTGGGTGTTTTGATTGATACTTGCTTCATATTTTCTAGACTTCTAGGGACCTCATTGGCTCATCTTCATCTCCTATTTTTGACATGGAGCTGGGTGTTTCCACATCATCTTTTTGGTTATTTGAATGATGATGCTGTGTGGTTCATTGAACAAAATATCCTTTGTTTTCAAATTGGCGATCTATTGATATCCAATTCCTTTCAAATTATATGCTGTTTCTGTGGGTGATGTCATTTTGAATAAATTTTAGAGCGGTGGCCATTCTATTTTAGCTGATCGATCACAAAATTTTCTTTACTTTGCTGCAAAGATGATACTGATATTTGAGATGAAAGATATGCATGTGGCTTCTGATGTTCAATATATAATCAGTATCACCTCATCTATAACATGGAAGGCAAGACTGGCAGATTGCAATATTTTGCACGACATGCGCTTGTTGTTTTAATTAGTATGCACATATATGGGAATGTTGTAGAATTCTAATTTGAAGTGCTTTGAAGTAATTGTAAATCATCTCATATGAATTCGATAGCCCAGTTTGTAACACTTGTTTCTGTTTTTGATGTGGCAGCTTTTTGGAGGATTGGATACCCAGTAAGTGTGCTGAAATAATATCTTTTGCACAGTAGATTGACTCTTTGACTATTTCTTTTTCCCTCTTTGGCAACTTGGCAATTTCATCTAATGTAATTATCATGATTATGCAGGGAAATGAGCAAAAATGCATTGAAAAACAAGAAAAAACGGGAAAAACAGCGGGAAAAGAAAGCAGCTGAGGGCGCATCTTCTGGCAGTAATCCTTGAACCTTGTTCAAGCGCTCAGTTAATGTATGACTAAAGCGGGAAATGAAAGCAGCTGAGAGTGCATCTTCTGGAGATTTTGCATCAAGAGACATCCAAGTTCCGGATGGAGCTAAAATGCAGGCTCTGGATTATATATTACCAGTAGCAGCATAATTTTGAGTGTTAATTAGTTAACACATCTTAAGTTTCTGGCTCTTTTGTCATACAAATGTATTTTTAAGACTAGGCGAAATATCTCACTCAGATCTCTGCTACTGTATTACATGATCATTTTGACCTTGGAGAAATTTTACCATGAATGTGAGGCTTAATAGCATTGTCAAATAAGCAAATAGCCAAATATAAGTGTATAATTACCCCATATGATTTTGTTCCAACAAAAGAAAAAGAAACTTGTGATTTTGAGTAACAATCCTCTTCCACCCGAGTCCTTGCTGCACTAAAGATTACGAATTTTGTTCTTGTTTTGTTTCCTCGGTTAGTTATTTATTTATTTATTTTTTGCATGATTGTATTTGTGTTTTGGTGATCATGGTTACGTTGTGCTTGCTGCTGCTGAGGCATTGCCAAAAGCATTTATTGCCGTTGATTTTAGTATAACCGTTGTGTAAGGCTATAGCTTCAGCTAGCGGTGGCGCCAATTCCACCCAATACTCCAACTCCTTTTGGCTCAAGCATTTCATATTTGAGTCCTGTACATTGTAAATAACGCTAGGCAATAAGGATCCTAGAGCCTAGTCGTGGGCCTCACTGTGTGCCTTTTGGTATGTTCCAGTGTCCCTTTTGCACCTCAGTGGCTCAGTGTGCCTCCGTTGCCCATCTTTGAAAACACCTCGCTGAAATCGTTAGATTTCTAACTCCTTGGTACAATTTTTAGTACACTCGGAAGTTGTAACATATAACAAATTGTTGCCTTGGCTGCCGCCACTTGAAAGCATTTTCAGGCTTCGAATTTCTACTTTAGTGGATGACTAAAATTGCGATGCGTATCTTTTGTATGTGACTGCCAAATTTTGCAAGATAGGATAATACATATCCCCTCCATTTAGTTCATTATGTTGCAAACAAGGGTTCAGCACAAAGGTTGTATATATATAGTGAGAAAAAGTGAAGGGGAGAAAGAAAGAGAATGCAATTAGTTAATGACAGCCAATGAAAGCTAGTAGCAAATAAACACTTGATGTTAAACTCGTCTAGGAAATAAGAATAGCCTACACAATCGTTATTTTGTTCATCTGGCTTTTGTAAGCAAACCAATGAGCAGGCTATGTAATACAATGTGATCATTATAAACCAAGGTAGCAAGATGAGTACTTGCATATGCTACCTGCTAAGCAATACAGTGTGGTCATTAAAAAACCAAGGTAACAAAAGGAGGCGAGAAGCTAGAGTAATGTGGTCATTAAAAAACCCAAGGTAAAATTCTCAATCCTAGTTTGCAAACAGCTAAGGTCCAGCATCATTAACCAAATTTTGAGCTACCTTCAACAAGAAACTAACAAGGGGGTAAAAAGACACTATAAGTTTCATATGATTGCCATCTTATTGCCAGCAGGATAACTAACCACGAAGGTTTTTTGTTGCTTCATAATTTCAGAGCAGTTGTCCAGGTGCCTTGTACACTAGGGTGCTTTGTGACATGTCTTGTCTTCAACTTTATCACCTTCCTTCCCAAGGCATTCCTCAACCTATTTGCATGTAGCAGTACGTCTTCTGGAGTCATATTCTTCACACAAACAACTCGTTCATTCTTGTTTCCTATATAAATAAGACAGAATGAATAGAGCTTAAAAGCTGCAAACATTACCACAATCTCTCTTTTGTTTAGGGGAAAAAGAGGGGAGGGGCACATGTGCCTTGAAAAACATTTTACCCAAAAATTAGAAACAAAATCATGCATTTAAATGCATGTACAAACTTTAGCAGATGATCTAGAACTGGAAGTGAGATGATAGAAAGGAAGCAAGTAGATCCAAATCCTACATAATCCCAATTATGTCTCTATATTTCTAAACATTCAACATATCCCACCATCAATTGCATCACTCACTACTTTCAGCTTTTCAGGAAGGGTGGCAAAGATAAGCATGCGCAGAGTGGTCAAAAAAACGTAACTCCACAGAGTTCCAGTGAGTTCGAGCTTGAAATGCCTCAACTAGCATTATTAAAGCGGCTGCCAAGAAATCTATCATCCACACACTATTCAGTACTTTCAGGGGATAATGTATTTCTCCTCTTTATAAAAAGAAGAGGAAACAAAGAAAGACAGTAGCATGATGATCAAAGCATAATCAGCAACTCTTACATAATTCATAGGATGAAATGTGAATAATTAAAGACTGACACCAAAAATATGTATCATTCTTGAACCCTAGTTTTCATCATAATGCTAAAGAGGCAAATAAACATGGAGGGAAGGCACTCACGATATAAAGCCTTCAGATGTGGATGCTGTCCACGAATGAGTTCTGTAACAACCTCTATCCGTGGATTGCTCTCCTTAATTGATGGCAAATTTGTTTCCATGAATGCCCTGCCATACAACAAAACATCTTTTCATAAGTTCTAAGTGAATTATTTTAGTTGGCACATAGAGTCTTAATTAAAAAAAAAAAAAACAGATGTATCCCACACTAGTTTCAATATTTATTATCCAGAGCCTTAAACTTAATAAGATCATTTTTCTGAATGCACTCCTCCAAAGTCAATCAATTAATCAAAGCCTTAATGCACTCCTCTAGAGTGATATATACTAAAAGTAATTTTATTTCCAACAACAATGTTGGGTGCGAGGAGAGAGATAATAAGATATCATACAGATTGCTGTTTTCATTTCAAGTCCCAGCTGCAACCCAGGGTTAGTTAAAACAATTCAGTTGTAAATCAAATGCCTAGTCTATTGAATGTCACACTGTCGCATATACCTATATAAATGCAAACTTATCAGAGAAACTTTCATATGCATGGCTGCCAGAGCTAGGAGATGCAACCACTTATCAACATAATTTTCAGTAAAACATTTGTGAAATTGAGATACAAGCAAAAGGTCCTCGCTTTCATATGCAAAAAAAAAAAAAGAGAGTAAGCATGATTAAACATATCAAGTGTCCCACAAATGCGCAAATAACTACATTTAAAAGTTTAATATATTTTTGTCCAGATGCATGTCAGCTGCTGTTTGTGTCCAACATTTACACGCCAGGCTGCTCAATGCAGGTGTACGGGAGGAAATATTAAGTATTGCACCATTGGACATTATATAACAGTAGATTTACCATTTTATACTTCCTCACTACTTGTTTTGCAAACTTTTCCCCTCAAATTCTAACATCATCAAAGTGTAACTTGAATATAGTATCAAAATGAGGTTGCAATAAGCCATCAAGAGGGAACAAATGATGGCGCTATACATAGGGTAACACGATCGAGCTAGAGTAGAGAAAAAGCCATAAAATACAATACCAAGGCAACATATTTTTAACCCTGTTCCGGAAATCACTTTTGTCCAACATGTAACCGTTAACTCACAATCAATCAATCAATCAAAGCCTTAATCCCATAATTGGGTCGGCTATATGAACCAAATTTGATTATTTCTTGTAGTCATCGACATAAATCTTCCTCCTCCATCCCTTACGATCCAATGCTTCATCCTCATGCAAATTCATATACTTCATATCCTTCCTAACTCATTCCAACCTAATCTCACAATGATGTCTCCAAATGAATAATTCTTAGGAAATCAGTATAGATGCCAACTGGAAAATAAGAACAAGTGCAAATCATTCCACCACTAGGAAGAAACAAACTGAAGGGACAATAGCAGTAGAAATCAGACTCGATAAGTACACTAATATGCACAGTCCAAGAGCTGAGACATTTATTGCGATCTCAATGTTCCAGAGAAGCACTTTTGCTCGATCAAATTGTTCCCCAAATTCCATTGATGAACAACATCACTCATTTATCCACAATTCGTTTCTTTACCAAAGTTGAACTACTCAAAAGAAAACTAGCTAGCATTCATCACAAAACAATAACCTAAATAAGTTGACATCTACCCAAAGAAAACTGTTATCACATGGACTGCCATTGCAACAATCCAAGGCATTCCTACACCGGAGCTGAAAATATATGATTCCTTTATTTCGGGATCATAATGATCAACAACCACACAGGCAAGATATGATCTACCCAGCCCACTTCATACCAAAACAAAGTACCCATGTTGAACCCTAGGACATCTGTAAACAATACAATACTTACACACTTCTAGTGATCCTCCATAGAAAGAGCCTGGTACAATCCTGCCAAATCCTTTAACCGAGTCCCGGTGACATAGCACCTCAAATTGAATCCCAGGACACATGTATACAGCATGATATATAGGCATTGCCAAATAAACTCCATGGAATAAGCCTTGCAAAACCCTCAAATCAACAACCCCATCAGATCCTTAACCCGAGTCCTCATAACACAACTCCTCAAACCGAATATAATATCAACAAAAGTTCCCCCAACTTTTTTAAGCTAGAAAACCATATACTTCCTTTCCAGGTTCACAAAAAATTGAAATTCTTAATTTCGATTACCATAGAAATTCATCTCAACAAAATCAATAAAGAACTCAACTTTGCGACTATTGAAGCAAATTACGCAGTTAACATATCAAAAACTGGTAAATAAAATAAGCTGGGAAAAAGATCAAACAGAATAACAATACCAAATTTGAGCAAATGCATCATCAATAACACAAATCAATCAGAATTAGCAAAAGGGTGCAAATGCAATACTGAAAAAAGAATCATGATTTCTACATTTATTGAAAAACATAAACGAAAAGAAAAAAATAGGGAAACAGTGAAAAGAAATTTAGAGAAAATTAAACCTGATACCCCTGCTGCTGCCTCCCCAATCGCAGTAGCTAACGATCAGTTTCTGAAGCTGCCAAACTCCTCTGAGCGACATTTTGCAAAGTTATTTCGATTCAATTTTGTAATTTCTGCAGAAATTTCAATGGATTTTGAATTGCGAAAGCAAGAAATGGGAATTAGGGTTTTAAGTGTTTACAGTAAAGCCTCTCACACAGTTACTCCGTATTGACTATTGACTTATTGAGAGAGTAGTTTAACTTCTGTAAAGATTTTTTTTTTTTTTTTTTTTTTTTTTTGTTGTTGTTACGGGGTGCCCCTTGTATAACAAGAGGAGTGGGGGTGAGGATCGAACCTTTGTGGCCCCATCACACGTGGGGAGATGGAAGGGTTCACGATCCCTCCACTCTTTGATCCTCACTTCTCTAAGGCTCATGTTTGGCAAGATGTTATCGAATTTGTTTACTCCATATTTGTTATTTTGATAAAGGGAGAAAATTAGGATAGGCTCGGGGCATTTACGTACATGTGTTATATGTCATGTCAATATCAAAAATAATGTCTTCACCTATCTTATTGATTATCATGTTTCTCATTATAACCTTATAAGGGCCTATTCAGCTCACCTTAAAAAAATAATTTCAGTTCAGTAAAAATAATTTCAGTTCAGTAAAAATAATTTCAGTTCAGCAAAAATAAGTTCAGTTAAGTAAAATTAATTTCACTCAATAAAAATAATTTCAGTTCAGCAAAAATCAGTAACTCTAAAGAAGAAATATAATAGAGGATCAGTAAAATAATTTCAATTCAGCAAAATTAATTTCAGTTTAGTAATAATAATTTCAATTTAGTAAAATTAATTTCAGTTCAGCAAAAATAATTTAACTTTAGTAAAATTAATTTCAATTCAGCAAAAATAAGGTGAAGTGAACGGGACCTAAATATTGATTTTTAAATATTGATTTTAGTCAAAATTACTAAGTGCTCGTTTGGTTCACATGGGAATTAACTTCCCATGTGAATTTATATTTCATGGGAAATTTTTTCCCTTATAATTTTCCTAGGAATTAAACTAAATTGTTTGGTTGACACTATAGGCATTTTCTAGGAAATTCAACTCACCTAGGGGGGAGTTGGTGAGTAATTTCCCTTGGGTTGTGGGAATTTGTATTTCCCTTAAAATTACTATTTTCCATATTTAGCTTATTTCTCTCCAACCAACCACACCATTATTTTAATACGAAATTCCATTTCCAAGGAAATTATCTACCAACCAAACAACACCTAAATAACCAACGCGATCATTTTATTTTACAAAAAATATCTAGTGAAAATTACTAAACGTACAACTCAATGGCTCATGTAATGTACCACCAAAACAGAACAATAAGATTTACAAAAGTTGATCCTTTTTCCCACCACTATAAGTTTGCATCTAATTCCCTCCCCAAAAGAAAACAAGAAATTAGGAATCCGATTCAAGTTTACCCACAAAAACCTCCTCTTTTCTCCACATTGTCGAGTTCGTTGTGCAATCAATCACTCCGACGAAGCAGTTGCGCAACCCCAGCAATGGCCAATTCCGCCGTGGACACTGCCGCTTCTGCTCTGTCGAAGCCGACAGTCACCCATGTCATATTCGATATGGATGGTCTTTTATTAGGTGATAATCAACACTGCATTTTAATTTGTCTTTATTTTTATTGTATTTTTCGATTTGGGTTGATAATTTAGTTGTTTATTTGTGTTGATCGCATTGTTTAAATAAGATTTTTTCTGGGGTTTATGAGTTAGAAACAATGATGGAGTTTGTTACCTGGTGCTCGGACTTGGGTACGTGTCTAAGTATCTGACTTTTTTGTGATAGTTTTCATGATTTTGGTTATAGATGAAAGGTGAAAGTGTCATACTCATTTCCAATTGTTAAGGACCCAATACGGGTACTTGAAGTAAAATGAAGTGCCTGAGTAACATACTTTCCTTGTTATGTCGTGGGTGATGTATAATTTTTACATGGAAGTAGAGGAAATTTTAGGGTTCTTGAATTTAAAATAAAAATTAATGCAAGCCTTGTCAGTGATGGCGCTCATGCTCATAGCTCATACTCTAAAGAAAGTTGGATCAATAGTCCTCTCTTAGATATGATGCATTTTTAGAGCAATGTTGTATTGAGGAAGTTCTTAATTTATCAGGTCATTGTGTTCGTTCTGGTAACCATCATATCCTTTTTATTTTTTTTTATTTTTTATTTTTTTTTGGAAAACTTGTTGTTCTTGAGCTTGATGTCATGCTATTGCTGCACTTAAAAAGTTTAATATGATGCTAGGGAGGATAACTTAATTTGCTTCGACGTCTTATTGTTGCAGATACTGAGATATTCTATACAGAAGTTCAAGAACAAATACTAGTTAGGTACAATAAGACCTTTGATTGGTCTCTAAAGGCAAGAATGATGGGGATGAAAGCAATAGAAGCTGCTAGGGTCTTTGTTGAAGCGACTGGAATAAGCGACTCTCTTTCAGCTGAGGACTTCCTTGTAGAAAGGGAGTCAATGTTACAGAGCATGTTTCCATCGAGCGAGCTAATGCCAGGTATGCTTCATATATACTTCGTATATGAGCTTTAACTTGCTTGGGTTTTCTTGTCTTTCCTACATCGACCGTTCTCTTGTGTCCTCTTTTAAAATTTTCTATCTTTGCAAAGTTTACTTGTCATATGTTCACTGTAAAATTCAATTTATATGAGAAACTGTATGTGTAGTTTATATAGCTAGAAATTCCCTCCAAGCTCCATAGAATGCCAAGGGACTCGTCTCACCTCTGGCTTAGTTAGACACTAGGCAGAAGAGTATTAACCAAGGAAATTATATATAAATATTTTACTTAGTAACTATTGCATAGCTCAAGTATTTTACTCAACACAAAGGTAAATGAATTTCCCTTTACTTCAAACTTTTGATTGGCATTTTCTTCTCAGATACTGAGATTTTTGGAGCTCTGCCCATTTCCCATATTATTATACTTTACATCCCTTGAAAAAAAATTATATTTTCCTTCCACCTAAATCAAATACTAAAACTAATTTCTTTCTTTGGTGAACTTAACAACTCATTGAATTGAATCATCCTGATGTTCTTCTCCTGATTCTGCCTCTATTTCTGTTTCATCTCTTACTTCTCCTGTCTCTTATCATCTTCACATTTTCACAACCTTACCTATTGATGTCATTTTTCTGATACAGGGGCCGAAAGATTGATCAAACATTTGCATGCACAACAAGTGCCAATCTGCGTAGCTACTGGGTAAACTTCTCTCTACCCTATTGTTTTATGTCTTTGCGCTTAGGGGTGGAAACTATTCTTGCATATCTGTCGAGTCTAGTGAGATTATATATATGTTATTTGGGAAAATCATTTATTACGTAGGATAGTATATTTTTAATTTGAGCTGCATTGTCTATAACTACAAGTTTTGCATATCTGTATTCTTACCTCTTTTTTTTTTTTTTTTTTTTTTTTTTTTTTTTTTTTTGGTCAACTAAATAACGAACTTGTTGCATGTAGTTATTATGTTACTCGGTTCTTTCACCTATTTTGTCATATTCATTACTGTAGGCAGTAGTACCTGTGTCATACTTGAGTCTACATAAGTGATCCATCAAAAATAGAAGAAATCCTAGGAAAAACTAGGGATGTCTATGTCAAGAAACTTTCTTTTCACAAGCTGAGTAACACAGGAGTAGTTTTATACATTGAATTATGCAAATCTTATGATGATTATAGTAATTCCTGATCGTTGATGTTTTGAACAATGCTGTAATTGTAGCTCCCACAAACGGCATTATGAGCTAAAAACTCAAAGACATAGAGAACTATTTGCTTTAATGCATCATATTGTTAATGGAGATGATCCAGAAGTTAAACAAGGAAAGCCATCTCCTGATGTATTTTTGGCAGCTGCCAGAAGATTTGAGGTAAATTTATATTTGAACCTTTTTAGTACTTACATGTCCATTTTCTAAAATTAAAAATTAGACAACAAATCACAATTTGGCATCTGAAGTCAGAAGTTTAAATTTTAATTCTAAAACTTTGCACCATATTAAAAGATACCATGCTATGACTTATGAGCAGGGTGGGCCTATTGATCCAAAAAAGTGCCTTGTATTTGAAGATGCACCATCAGGAGTTCAAGCTGCTAAAAATGCTGGAATGTAAGTGCTTCTACCTCTAAATCATATGCCTAATATGTTCAAAGTAGTAGCTAGAGATCATTGAATGTGTTGTAGAAAATTGAGATGCACAATTAAAAAATAAGTTAGTCTGTGTTGTTTCTCCATGCTAATTCCTAGAGTGATGACAGGTGCTTGTGTTTTGAATTAATCATGAGTAATGAATTTCATAATGTGTTAAATCTTTTGTATCCTGTTCATATGACCTGAAATGACAGTGAAACCTGGTCGTTTTTGTAATTCTTAGTTTTATTGGCATTGTCAGAGGGAAAATTAAGAACCTGTGAACCGAATGTGTTATACTAAATCGTTCTTGTTGCACTTGAATTCTTGTTATTTGGACATGTCATCCGGTTCCAAGAGATTTTATTTTCGATACGTGTATAACTTCACATGTTTAAAACAACCTTTTGACTGGCATGTAGGTCTGTGGTCATGGTTCCTGATCCAAGGTTGGACAGCTCCTATCACTCTGTTGCTGATCAAGTTCTGAAATCGCTAATGGATTTCAATCCTGCTGAGTGGGGCTTACCTCCTTTCGAAAATTCAGCTTGCTGATCTTTACAACTATTGCCCACACAATGATGTTGCCCTTCCCAGTAGCCCATCTTTGCATAAGCTGCCGAGAATTTTATGAGTAATACGGAGTACTTCAGTATGTTATTGCTGTGACTGACCCTATTATTGATTCATTTACTTTCATGTTTTGCAAGGGGAAACAAACATATAGTATTAAACATAATTAAAGTTTAAACATTAGCAATAGCAAATACATGATTTTGTTACGCACTTATTTGGGTGGGGATTATCATCCACTAACCTTTTGTTTTTCGTTTTCAATCAACAAACCATGCTTAAAATTATTCTCTATAATAATATTCTCGTCACCTTCATGTTCAATTTTAAACAAAAATCCCATACTATAATTCCCCCAAGAAATATATGCCCAAGAGAAATAAGATTTATATTTAGAACCAACGAATAATTTAAAAACAATGAATACTAGATTACTAGTGTACTACGGAGGGATAGAAAGTGTATTTAGTATGTTTTAGAAGGTAATTAGTGAAGGTAAACAAGCTTTTTTTTTTTCAAAATAATTTAGCACTAAAATTAGAGAAGGGTTAGGTATCATATGTAAAATTATTTTAATTAATTTAGCCGTTTACATTATGTAATCTCGACCTCAAAGTATATGCCACAAGGCTGTTACAATTATTATATCATAGTAGCTGAATAAAGAATATGGCTTTTCTTGTCTCCCGGTATTCGTTTGAAGGATATAATACTTTAATTCAACTTTAAGAATTTTACAAGAGTTGAAATTACTTGTCCAACTAGGTATATATCATAAATTCAAGATATTGAAAAAGTATAAAACTGTGATCGACTGATTGGAAGGATAAACTATACAGAAACTTATATCAGAATACATTATACATTACAAATAGAAATATTTTTTGTAAATACACATCCAAGGTAAAATCTACATAAGCACACATTTGTATGCTTCTATTTGACATTCTCGCAGATTTCTTTCTATAGGGAACTAAAAACACACCCTACAGGCTGCATCAGGCAGACTGAATAATATTACAATTCCACAGAAATGGCAAGCTTGGACTTATAAAACGAACCCAATAGCTGCCACATTGATATTTCCTTTACAAGTGATTAAAATACACACTTACAAGCATAATGTAGTACTGTACAAGCCGTAAATTGCCAGGAAGACACTTAAAATCATCTCCTGGCAGTGGCTAAAGATTTCTCTTCACTCTCTTGAGAAGATTTTAGGGTTGATGGTGAGCTAAGAGGATTCTTGTTGGAGGAAGAGAAAGATTCTTCGGCTGCAGCGTTTGTGTCAACATTGGCCAAAACTTCTTGGAGATCAGGTACAGTTTCCAATTCCGTGGGTTTAGGTGTGTAGGTGAATGAAAGGTCTTTGTTGGAAGCAAGGGCAAGGAGCTCTTTCTCCTCAAGCCCCTTTGTTGGTCCAATGCTGCACCTCTCGGTTCCATGCTTAGCTAAAGCATCCTTGAATTTCTTAATCTGTGGTAATCATAGAACGTAAAATTAATCAAATAATTTTTATCAGGTTTCAAAATACCAGTTTCAAAATTTTTGTCTAATTGATTTTATAACTTTGCAATGATATAAATGGAATGCACTGCTTGTCAAACCAACCCTTTAAATCGTAAAGAAGAGAAGTGTGAGGATCATAAACAAACCGTGGCATTTGTACAACTGAAGCTGCACAGGCGACCTTCAGATCCTCTGTAGAACCGAAAGAAAGGAAGAACATGGACATTAAGGCTGTAACACATTGATTTATGCTCCTCGTAGTTCACCTGAAGAAACTGAATATCAGGGTTCATCTCTGCCAACTGACATAGCTGCAAAAATCCAACACAAAAAATTAGGTATATGTGGAAAAAATATCACTCAGCTAAAATATACTCTGTAACTAGATCTCCACCCTAAAATTAAACGTACTCGTACAACACATGAAACCCAAAAGAGGCAAATAGGAACAGAAAAACTCCATCAGATCTATATAAGGATGGTACCTTAGGATGAAGAGCCCTGCAACCTCCACAACCAGGAGAGAAAAAATCGACAACTACCAACTTATCTCCAGCCTTTAACAAAGAATCCACTAGGTCTTCTGCAGAAACAACCTCTCTCATATTTGGTTGAAGTCCTTTCTCCCACCACTTCGGTGCATTGTTAAAGGTAAGACCCAGCTGCATTTGTTACAACAAACGAATAATTACCACTATAACTGAGCAGTTGTTAACTGAAAACAGAGGTTCAAACTTTCCAAGTAAGCGTTGAGAATCTTGAGGTATCTAAACATGAGATAGCAAGCTACACTTGGCAAATTACACAAAGAACAAAGGAAATTCTTTCTAAAGGACCTAAGAAACACCAATTCCATATAATGTATTCACAGTTCATCACTCGTTTAAATCTCTCCGAGTTAGAAGTTGCATTTTCAACAATTTATAAAACCCATAAGTCATCATTGTCATAAAACTAAATCGAAACTTGAGGCCTAATGGCACAATTCACAAAATTAGACCTCCACCTAATGGCGAAATCATACAACTCGACCACCCTAAAGTCCTAAACTCAACCTTACGGCGGAATTCATAAATCTCCACATTCCAAATATCCCCTGCCTAATGATCTAAAACATTACACCTCCCAGATACCCCCGCCGAAAACATACAAATCAACCTCCCCAAGACCAAGCTTGATGGCAGAATTATACAACTTGTTATATACCCCCACTTAGTGGCAGGATTTGTTAATTATATCGACTGATGTTAAGCATTTCAAAACACTATATCATTAAACAAATGAACACACTTTTAATCAGGGCAATCAGATACCAAAACAAACTCTTTCAAAAGGTTGGAGCCAAACTTGACCTTGTAACCTGATATAATAAACATTATTAGTTAAAATTTATACCAGCTCCTCACACCAGGCAAAAACAAAGGACACCAAAATAAGTTTCACAATCTACCAACATTAAAAAAAAAAAAAAGGATAAATTTACCTAAACTATTTGAAGCCTAAATTAAGCAATAATGATCAAATCAATAGGATTCAAATACAGAGAAAAATTTAAACATGGGTATAACAAAATTCGATAAAGACAAAAAACCCAGAAATATTTTCACAAACCTTAGCATCAATTGATTGAAAATTCCTCGATTTTTGGGAACAAAAACTGCGATTTTGATCAACCGCAGGCCTTACACCGCCAAAACTACTCCTCAAAGATGAAAATCCAGCTAATTTGCCTTGATTTTTCGTGGAAACTGAACATTGGACGGGAAAAATTTTAACATTACTATGATGATTATGATGAGAAATTGTTGGAGAAAAAACGCTTGACTTGCTAATAACATCAGCCATTGAAAAACCCAGAAGAAAAAACCCTAAAAATTGGATGAAGAAATTGGGATTATTTGCGGAATTTGTGAAAAGGGTTTCGAATTGCGTGGAAGAAAAGAAAAGGGTAGAAGTCAGATTTAGGAATGAACAGGTAAAAGTCTCAAATTTTCCGGTTGAAAAATGCAAAATTGCAAAAAATAGGGTTTACGTTAAGAAGTTTTCAAGTCTTTATTTACTTTAATATTTTCTTTTCTTTTCTGTTATTTGTTTTTGGATGAGAGAGAGAGAAAGAGTACAGTTAGCTTCTACTCCTTCTAGAAAGTGTAAAGGATGATGACCGTTGGAATGTGTGAATGGATGAGGTTCATAAAATTTTATCCAAAGACACTTGTCTTATGCTCCATGATTGAGATTTATTTAGATTGTGATGTGTATGTCGACTATGTATGTCGACCATCGATATTGAGTTATGTACTATTTTCGTCCCTTAAAGATTAAGGATTGCTATATTGTAGGACAAAAAAATAAAACAAATATATGGAATTCTCACTATCCTATAGGAGTGATGTATGGTTTTGTAGGATTTTTTTTTAATTATTGGTTTCGTAGGATTTATTTCAATGTTTGTGAAGTTAAATTTTTACATTATTATTTTTACATGAACATAATTGGGATTATGCGTAGTATAAGTGTGTATGTTGACTAAGTTAATCACAATCTAAAAGTGCGTGTCTAAAAATTACTTCCTCTATTTTTATTACTTGCAACACAATCTTGTTGCACTTAATTTGAAGTCGACATTATACAATATAAACAGATAAATTGATCCAAATAATTATTATATGTGATACTTAACTCTTCCCTAATCGTGGTGTTCAAATTATTTTGATAAAATCATTCTTTTTCTTTCACCAATTACCTCCTAAAACTGCCCAGCTAAAGATTGTGTTGCAAGTAAAAGAAAAGGGGGAAAGTATATTGCAAATAAATAAAAACGGAGAAAATATTAGATTATTTGTTCTTTAAAAAAAAATTATTAAATTCGTATAAAGTATAATTTCAAAATTCTAACTTTTTAATAATATGTATGTATACATAATTGAAAATGTTAATAATCAAATAATGTGTAATGTTGTGTTTTTTTTTTTTTAAAAAAAAAAAAAGTGTTATGATGACCATGAAAAAAAGGTTGAATTTTAGGAACACATATACGAAATGTATACCAGTATACAAGTATATATTTATAAAAAAAAAAAAAAATAAAAAAAAAAAAAAAAAAGTGTTATGACGACCATGAAAAAAAGGTTGAATTTAAGGAACACATATACGAAATGTATACCAGTATACAAGTATATATTTATAAAAAAAAAAAAATAGAATAAATGAATTAAAATGTGTGATTACATGACAAACTGAATTCATGAGGTTTTGTATGAAGACACCCGTCCAATGTTTCGTTACAAGAGTTTTGTAATCTTTTGAAATTTTAGATATTTTTCAAAATTCTAAAGGTGGATAAGAGAGTACCGCCGTATTTCTTGTATACGGTGGTTTTATTATTATATGTGTCTCAAAAAATTTGAAAAAGGTGCATGCAAACAAATTACAAAAATTTCTAAATGTGGATGAAATCATATGCCCTTAGGATTGATGTTGTGGCTTAGACGAACACAAGAAGCCCAGTCCATTACTTGACAATTGAAATTTTGCATGCAATTTTGAGCTTACCTATAAATTATACAAGCCATGCCCATAATTCATCATCCCATTATAATTCCATATACAAAAAGCCTAATGAGAAAATAAAACCTTTCCAAAACATGGGGGAAACAAAACCAACACTTATGTTTTTTATGTGCAT